ATGATTATGATTATGATTATGATTATGATTATGATTATGATTATGATTATGACTATGATTATGATTATGATTATGATTATCACTATCCCTATCGCTATCGCTATCGCTATCCCTATCACTATGACTACGACTACGACTACGACTACGACTGCGACTGCGACTGCGACTGCGACTGCGACTCGGACTCGGACTCGGGCTCGGGCTCGGGCTCGGGCTCGGGCTCGGACTCGGACTCGGACTCGGACTCGGACTCTGACTCGGACTTGGACTCGGACTCTGACTCTGACTCTGACTCTGGCTCTGGCTCTGACTCCGACTCCGACTCCGACTCCGACTCCGCCTCCGACTCCGACTCCGACTCTGCCTATGGCTCTGCCTATGGCTCTGACTCTGACTGACTCTGACTCTGCCTATGGCTCTGCCTATGGCTCTGACTCTGACTCAGACTCTGCCTATGGCTCTGACTCTGACTCTGCCTATGGCTCTGACTCTGACTCTGACTCTGCCTACGGCTCTGACTCTGCCTATGGCTCTGACTCTGCATATGACTCTGACTCTGACTCTGCCTATGACTCTGACTCTGACTCTGCCTATGGCTCTGACTCTGCCTATGGCTCTGACTCTGACTCTGCCTATGGCTCTGACTCTGACTCTGACTCTGGGTATGATTATGATTATGATTATCATTATGATTATCATTATGATTATCATTATCATNTGACTCTGACTCTGACTCTGACTCTGACTCTGACTCTGACTCTGACTCTGACTCTGACTCTGACTCTGACTCTGACTCTGACTCTGACTCTGACTCCGACTCCGACTCCGACTCCGACTCTGCCTATGGCTCTGCCTATGGCTCTGACTCTGACTGACTCTGACTCTGACTCTGCCTATGGCTGTGCCTATGGCTCTGCCTATGGCTCTGACTCTGACTCTGCCTATGGCTCTGACTCTGCCTATGGCTCTGACTCTGACTCTGCCTACGGCTCTGACTCTGCATATGACTCTGACTCTGACTCTGCCTATGACTCTGACTCTGACTCTGCCTATGGCTCTGACTTTGCCTATGGCTCTGACTCTGACTCTGCCTATGGCTCTGACTCTGACTGTGACTCTGGGTATGATTATGATTATCATTATGATTATCATTATGATTATCATTATGATTATCATTATGATTATCATTATCATTATCATTATCATTATCATTATGATTATCATTATGATTATCATTATCATTATCATTATNTGGGGATGCGGCAACTTTTACTAAGAATTTCTTTCTTTTTGAGAAGCCACTGAAAAAAGTTTCTAATATGGATTACGAATTTTCCCATTCATCGTACAAATAAAAATGTCACAAAACAATATCAGAAGCATTTAAAAAAAGCTACACATTTTATATTGTTCAAATACGCTTCTGAAATAGAAATTTTCTAATGTTGAGACTATCATGAATATGGTAACAATGACGAACTGATAGAAAAAGTTAGTTATGATTATGAATCTTGAAATGGTAGGTATATGAAAAACAAATAACATTAGGTACATACCTACCTACTGAAAAGTAATATAGTTATAATTTCTTCTACGCATGGTCAATATTATGTCTATCCTTTTAATAATAATAAATTATACAGCAGAAATAAGGATACAAAATTCTTTTATTTAAGCATACCTATACACATAAACAAATATAAATATTTGTACAAAATATAAAATAAACGACGTCTATTTCACTTGATTCATCCATATTTCAAATAGTTTTCACTGACTAAGTAGTTGCTCTTCAAATTATATCGAAGCGTATAGTTATTGTTCCATTTTCTTAGTTCTTGTCCCTTGTCCCCTTGTCTGTAATAGGTAGTGGGTATAACTATATTTAGGTAGATGTGATTCAAAATTGGAAATATCTTTACACATATCGTTTTAAACATTTTGCATCAATATTCATTATTTTATATGCAATTTACAATAACCACAACTGCACACACTACAAATTATCGCATAAAATAGCGTCAAAGTTGTGCAAAACCGTACTTATTTTATCAACTTCGACGTCACCTGTTACATGAGTGTTGTATAATAATGAAAAAGTAATATTAACGGTTGGTAGAAGGAAGCGCAAAAAAGCAAACGCCTAGGTGGGGCAATTCTGGAAGGAAGCCTAGTTAGTTGAAGTTAGGCAGTTGAAGTGAGAACAGTGTGCAGATAGGTAGCAAGACGATCGGTGGGCAGTGTGGCGAAATAGTGAAAAATTAAGTGTTTAACCGGTATTAATTAGCAGGTAATATTTTTTAAGTACTTTGTTGTTAATTGTTCTATGTAATCTTATGATTGTGATGGTTATAGATGTTTCATGATAATAATTCTTTGTATGTTTAGCTTT